TCATTTGATCTGAAGTAATAATTCCACCCAAGTAATAGCCCTCCTGGAACTGGATAGGGAACAGCCAAAGCCAAGGACCTTTACATTTTGGAAGATGGGGTGGAATGGAAAAGAGGCATTCTACAGGAATTCCAATGGCATCTGAAAACATCAAACTTGAGTTACCTTCAGGCATTCCCTTCCCTTTGAAATTCCATCAGATCAATCAGAGTAGCAATGAGTCCAATGTTTACTTCCACATCATAAGAAGCAGGTGGCTCTAGAAGATGGATTCTTTTCTGCCTCTTGGTTCTTCTAGGATCCAACTATGATTCCATGATCCTTCTAAAGAAGGAAAAGGTACAACTCCTTCCTAGACCCCTCCCCCCAGAAAAGGGGAGAATACTTTAGTAGTCCTATTTATTCACCCCTTCTGGATCCATTTCCTTTGACACAACAAGATTTTGTCATTCATCTTGCTAAAAAAAATTAATGTTTCCCTGCCTTTTGACACTGGGCTTGGCTATGTGACTTGCTTTGACCAATATGATGTTAATGGATTTATGACATAATCAAAAGCTTGTAATGAGCTTGCATGGGTGGCTTGTGCTCTTACCCCTTCCATCACCAGAACATGACAAGCTAGCAGCTGGTGCTGGGGCTAGGACAAGGGAAACAGAAGAAGCCACTCCCATCTGAGCCAGATAAGAACAAGCCAATTTTCCCCTTCAACCTGCAGACACAAGGGTTAAGAAATGAACATTGTTGATGCCACTGATATTTTCTAGTTGTTTGTAATGCAGTATTATCATAGCAACATTAGATACACACACAGATACAACTACAGGCAACAAATGTAGTTTTGGAGTTAAAATACCATTTGCTTTGTTTTCTTAATACATAATAAGTAATAAATCCTTAATAGTTTTCTTATTAGACTGTGAAGTCCTCAAAACAGAGTCCCATTACCTTCCCAATATCCAAAATTCATTCATGAGTCCATGCCATGTTCTAAGCTCCAGGGGATACAATGGTAAATGATACATAATTCTAGCCATAGGTCTTCCTTCACCTATGATGTTTCCAACCATTATCAGGATTAATGTGCTTTTATACAGAGGAATAATAAAGTTTATTTCTATGGCTGAAAGTATATAGGTCAGTAAGAACCCCTAAATCAACTGAGTGTTATTTGCTTAAATACTGGGTGAACTGGATCATTGCATCTTTTAGTAATCCAAAGAATTGACAAACCACTGCATTATTAGTTTTTAATTCTGGCCAATCACCAGACCTTTGTAAATTACAAATTCCTTGACTCCGTCTACAGATATCTGACCGAATAGTCTAGCACAAGGCCTAGGCCTCTGTTATTAAAAACACCTCAAAATAATACTGACAATCATAAGAATTGAGGACTTCCCCTCATCTAATAGAACCTCTTCATCCACTGATTGAATCTTTTCTGCTGTGTTAAACTAAGTGTTTGACATTAATAGACCCAACAGTGAACACAAGGTACCAGGATCCAGATCACCAAATGTATCAGTCATGATTAGCTTAACAAACCACTCCAAACTCAGCAGCTTAAAACAGTAAGTATTATTGCTCATAAGTCTTTAGATCTGGATGGGTTTTTCTGATCTCCGCTGGACCCATTCAAGTGTCTGAGGACAGCTGGCTGGTTTAGGACTGCCTCATTTCCACGTCTAATATAGAATCACTGTCAATTGTGTGACAGGGTCTCTGGGTCACAGCAAGAGTGCCCAGGAGTTTCTACATGATGACTGGCTTGGATTCCAGGAGAACAAGCAGAAGTATGAGAGGCTGCCTTAAAACTGAGACTGGGGACTAACATTACTTCTGCACATTCTCCTGGTCAAAACAAGTAATAAAGCCAAGCCAAGATTCAGTGGCTGGGGAAACAGACTTTACCACTTGATAAAAGGAGCCAGAAAGTCATGTTGCAAGGGAACAGATTAAAAGAAGAGAATAATTGGGATAATTTTTGCAAATCAATCTATATTATACAGTATAATAAGAGAAAAATATAACCTCTAGCCAAATGAGATTTCTAAGTGAGAGCCAAAGTTTTCACTTTCATCTCATAAAGACATAAAGTCCTCATATTAAAACTTCATCTGACATTCTTCATTCTAGCTCTTTGATTTCACTCTTACCAAATCCTCAAGATCTCTTTCTCAAACTAAAGCGAAAGCAATCTATATATTCTCAGCATCATCTTTGGGGTACTTGAAGATGTAGATGACATGCCAATCTTTTGAGGATCTGTTCAGGACAAATTTCTGTGACTTAGGATGTGCCTGTAGTCACACTAAGTAACTGTGAGAATGATCATCAGGGCTACATCCTCCGAAGAAGTGCATAGCATTAACATGAGGAACACCAAAGCACAAGAAGAAATATTACAGGGAAAAGATAACACATAAGACCAGCAAACAGAGAAGCAGGAAACCGGAGCTTAATGGAGACTACAGTTTGACGCTAATTATAATTTCCGCCTGAGGCTGCTGACTAAGCACTCTTCATTCTTTCTCCTTTCTCTTCTCTCCGTTTCCCTGACCATTACCATTTAGGAAACAACCAGAATCCACAACTATTTTTCCTAATCTAGGCCCCAAGGTATATACAGCCTGACTGAGATGTAGCAGTAGTTTACAGCATCTCTATAACAAAGGTGTTGCTTTATTTTAGAATAAACCTTGACCTTTTGGTTAGAGCCAAAGTCTTGAAACACCTACTTGTGCAGGGGGTAGAAGAGAAAATAGCTCCAGAAACCAGAGACACAGGATGGTAGAGTTGGCCAAAGGCTAGGTAGTGCCTGAGGCTCTTTGGAGGAAATTTCTCAAGAGGGAAGGAGAAAGTATACCCTACTCAAAGACAAAGCTGTCCTGAGTGCATACTCTGGTTCCTGTATGTCCAGTTTACAGTCTGGTTGGTAGACTAAGCAATAAGAGTAGATACAAAACACAATGAAGCAAAAAAAATTCATCATAAAGATGCCTAAAAATTCATCATAAAGATGCTAAATTAATCGTAAAGATGCCTCAGAAAAGCCAGATTCAAGCAGGCATTGCAATATCAATTTGGTTTATGAAGAAAGCCAAAAAATTCTGAAAACATGTGGAATAGGCCTTAGTGGGAAGATTCATTGCCCACACTCTTCTAAACTCTATTGTGTTCCTGAACATTGGATATGGGAGAGAAGCAGGTTTGGTAGTAATGGTGACATTTTTATACTATAGTATGTTGTATGCAATATGCAAATACCTGAGAACCAGAATAGCTATCAGTGCTGTTAACTCTATGGGAGGCTTAGTAGTGTGTATATTTGCTTTTCAATTATAACTGGAAAGTCATAACTTTAAAACATGACTCTTCAGAAAAATCATCATAATGGTTCCTACCTTCACTTCTTGCTTACGTGGTCTCAAAATGAGTGGCATACTCAGATCATCTTCTAACACACTAGCCAACTGGTTGCTAATAAATCCCTGCTTTTAATTAGGCAAGGGGAATTGAAAGCAATAAGGAAGCAAACTTGGTTTTAGTACCACAGGAGCAGTGATAATCACAGTGATTCTCACAGCAAAACACATACTTTGGTCTTCATAAACTTAGAAGAGAGATTTTTCACCCTGTCTGGGCCTCTATGCCCTCCAACATTCACACACAGATAACTTCGTGCTCTTCTTACATGCCATAAAGTTCAGGTATGCCTTCTTAGAACATTATTTTTTAGCTGTTGTTCACTGCTGCTCCAAAAACCTAGATATGTTAGGTACAGGTTACTCCTTAAAGAGAATACCTAAGTTGCTTGCCCGGAGGTGCCAAGAATGAACCTGCACTGCATTTGCAGAGACACCTGGGCACAGGCCAAACATCCACATGTGTCACAGCAGTGCCTCTGGTTTGGGAAATTCCTACTGCAGTTTCCTATTTCACTCTCTGATACTATAAACCCTCTTAACGCAGTATCTTTACATTCATAATTGGGAGGTAATTCTTCATGGCTGTTAAGAGGGCTGTCTCAAATTATCTACAATATTTGAATGAAATTAACTTTACACATAGCCTTATCTTGCCTACAACATTTTTCTTGAGTTCTTCCCAGGTATTAATTTTTTGACTAGGTCGGGAACCAGAGGCAGCAGTTTATTCCTTCACATGCCAGCTGCAATCTGTGGCTTGTCTTTAGAATAAACACTAAAAACACAGGGGTCTGTTAACAATGCAGCACTTGATTACTCTGAGTTACCCTCTCATCCACAGCAATCGGGTAGAAGACCTTGGCATCAGCCCTGCACAGAAAACCTCCTCCATTTGCCTTCCCTTCAAGGAATTCTCAACACACTACACAAAGATCTCTGTTTTCTCTCTCAAATACCACATGATCCCACATTGAACATCAGACATTTCTCTCCCCTGAGCACCACAGGCCTCCGCCTGGGGTATCTTAATCAATACTTCCAAGTTCACTTGCATTTCATTAGAACAACTAATCTTTTAACACTTTTCAAACTCCAACTCTGACATCTCTTATTCTACATTGAAATCTTTGAACAGGTTTTGTTAGCTTGTTTTGTTTTGAACAAAATGTCATGTTGGTTTATTTTAAAGCTCTGGTAAGAATTAAGCTACATTTCAATTAGAGTTGCCCATGTATTAAAATGCCCACAATCCTTAGCACTTTTTCTTCCTCAAAACCTAATTGGTAAGCAAAGTAGCTTTTCTCCCCTGTAGAACCAAAAGGGTAAGTTATACCAATCAAAGGTAATTATCTGTTAAGTTTTGTTCCAAGGCAGGCTATCAGGTTACAAGTTCTAATAACCTCACTGGAAAAAGACATTTCTTTGTTTTGGGACCACCAAGAACTAACCAACCAAATCAAACACCTTCAATCCTTGCAGAAACTCTCCTGTCCAAACACGATAAAAAAGAAAAGCCAACAATAAAGCAAATAAAGTGAATGAAGCAGTCCTGCAGCTGGAAGCCCTTACCATTGGGAGCAGAGGACCCTGGAGATTCCTCTCCGGGGTTCCTCCTGGCGTGGGGTGGTGGCCAGGGGTCCAAGACGTGGGTACGGGTGGAGGTGTGCTCCTTGCATGCTTGAACAGGGCTCCCCGCCGTCTGCCTGCCTGGCTGCCACTCAGTGTTCTCGTCTGGGTGGGAAGGGCCAAGATGAAAAAAAAATGTGCAGGTTACTCACTGGCCTTCCCGGGCAGACACACCCAGGAGGAGGGAGAGGCCAGGCGCAGACAGGGAGAGTCTTCAGAGGCTGTGCCTGAGATCTGCTTCTGATTCCTTTTGTTATTACTTCCTGAACTTTAAGCTCTCTCTGCCTGGGCACTGAAGGGAAGCAGGTAACACTTGGGTGATTATTTTCAACTGTATAATGCAAAAGTTACTTTGAAAAGGTAATGTTTTATCATACACCTCTTTAAATTTAAACCTGAAAACTGTTTTTGCTGTTAGAGAATTAACACTGACATTCACAGGAGAGTGATTGGTTACCCTGGGGTGGAGGCCTGGAAAAGCCTGGAGGGAGCAAACCTGGATGACATTTCAGAAAGCATTTCTAGAGTCTAACTTTTTTAGACTCAACTTTGGAGAAATAGGATTCTCAACAATCTCCCAGAGTCTGTGAACTTTGCCTTGGACCAAAGACACATTCTTGAAAAAGGAATCTGTAAATGGAGATGTCAGAAATGGACATGGGAAAAGCTAGAACTTGCTACCTGTCAGCCTGGCCATAGATAAAACCTGAAACGAAGGCTTCCATAAATGGAGGGGTGCTTTAGTAATTTTCCTGCTTGGGTAAGCATGTGTATTCATGAACACAGGCAGCAGCAGTAACATGAGGTAGATGAAGCTGAGGATGAAGAGCAGGCAGCAAATACTAGTGTCCTGTACAGACCAGACACTTACCTCATTTAATCCTAAAATGCCTTTATGAGGGAGGTATTATTCTTCACCTGTGAGCACACTGACACCCAGAAGTCGGGCAACTGGGCTTATGAGACCCAGGGAATGGAAGACCTGGGATTTGGACCCAGGTTTGCCTGAATTCAAGAACCAGGAATATTTCCCACCATTTCTAAACAAACCAACACCTCTCCTCCACTTGCAGTTGACCTAAGGCCTGGTCACCTTTCCTGAAATTTCTATAGCTTTTCCAAAACTGTTAATGCCATATGACAGAATTTCATGGGATAGTAGTAAGTGTAATAAAAGTTAAAAAAAACCCCAAAAAACCTAGATTCTCTTCTGTAGCCATTCATAACATAACCTTTAATGAACTAAAATATATTTTGATCCTCCAATCTTGGGACTTAGTATGCTATGTATCTTTTTCCAAAGTTTATTTTCTTCTTCTTCTTCTTTTTTTTTTTGCTTGACAGGAAGGCATCTTTTGAGAGTTTGGATAATAGTATATTATAGAATTATAGAGATGGGTTATTAAATTTTTCTTCCCTTTAAAAAAAAAAGTTAAATTTATAAAAATTATTTATAAAAAATTCAAATAGTATATAAGAGCATAAAATAAAAAGTAAAAATCTCTCCATTTTCCCTAAGAACCAGTCCCCATTCCCCAGAGGAACCCACTGTTAGTGATTTCTTCTGTATCTGATTCAGACATTTTTATGCATATAAAGCATATGTGAATAACCTTTTTAAAATAACATACCCAGGATTAAAGTATACCCATGATATGCTATTTGGCACTTTTGAAAACTTAATGACATATTTGAGATTTTCCATATCAGCATATAGAATTGCTTTTGGCAAGTTAGAGCCAAGAAAAATAAAAGGTAGTCCTAAAATAATGGAGTTACTGCTTTATAAAAGGTTCCCCTACTTGGGTCATTGTAAGTTTCATGACTCAGGGTGGAAATGCACGGCTGTCATTCCAGCTCTAGTTGTGGAATGTCCGCACTTAATGCTCACATACAGAAGGCAGAGGACACTATGGCCTCCTCACGGGTCATCGGGAAGCTCAGTAGCAATGGTGTTAATAATGCCACAATCTCAGCCAACACTTACTGAGCACTCTGTGCCAGAGACTTTTTGTAATGTTTTCTATGTATTGACCTATTACACCTTACTTATCCTCAACAACTCAATGAAGCTGGTGCTGTTTTTCCCCATTTTACAGAGTGAGGGAATTTTTTAAAAGCATGTATCCAGTACACTCCAAAGGTTGCTGTTTTTATGAAGTAAGCATAGCACTAGCAACCCTGATCTTTGCCACAGTGTGGTCCTCCAAGCAGCACTATAGAGTGGATCCCATTTTCCCTGAGAAACAATGTTGTAATTGGGGTTCTGTTCTAAGACCTCACTTTGGATTCCTATAAATTCTAGCCAGGATCAATAAAATCTTTTAAAAACAGATACAATAATTCTCATAATCATATGAAATAGTAAAATGATATTTCACAACAGAGATTTGGAGAAGCTTGTACAACCCTTCCTTTTTACTGATGAAAGAAATAATATCCAAGATTACAATATCTAAGATTATATGGGTCTTCTCTAAGTCAGTAATGAAATAATTCTAAAATGTGCATACATTTGACACCTTATTACATAAGGGATTCTAACACACATCCTATCATACACATAGAACATATTATATCACAAATTTGAAGTATTTTTAATGTACAAGTTAGAACAAGAAATATATATTTAACTAGATATAGCTTTCCTGCCTGTCTCCACAGAATTTTAAAAGGTCATTAAAAGAAATGATTTGACTGATTCATTTCTCAGAAAAACTCTCCATGGATAACATGAATCAATACCTTCTTATTTTTTCAATGAATTTTCCTATAAAAACCAGAGGACTTCAAAATAAGCCTACCAGACTTCATCCCCCTAATATAGATAGGTAAGCATCTCCAGTGGTTTGGGAGAGCACTCAGGACCTCAGTTTGCTTTGCAGCACATTGCATTGACCTGATCCTCTGCCGGATTCTATTTCTCCCTCTTTCTCTCTCTTTTTTTTTTCTCCCTACCTATCTTCCTAAGTAAAGAAAGCCTTGCAAGTGTAGTAAATTACAGAAGGGCAAACATGGAGCACAGAGGAAGAAGGGTAACTTATAGTGCTTTAACCCATTTTGTCCTATAATCTCAGATATGGAACACCTATAAAACTTTAGTATATTATATATATATATATATATATATATACACACACACACACACACACATACCTACATATATATATTTACATTTAGTATGTCATATATATGTATACACACACATAAGAATATAACTATAGTATAGTATAATATTAACATAATATCTATAAGTTCTAGACTATGATTTCTACCCTATGCACTGTCAATTTTATTAAAATATTCTTAGAATTAAAATCTTGGGACTAAATGGGTTAAGATGATTACAAGTGAGAAGACACCATGTATTTTGCTCTAAGAGTTGAAAAAAGAGAGAGAGAAACTAATATCTTCTCTTCTCCCACTTTGACTCCCAGCACAATATTAGATTATACTTTCAGCACAGTGCCTAGAATAATGTGTAGAAACTTGTTGACCAGTTAGGTATTTGTTCCTCTAAATCTGAATAATCTTCATGTTCAACGGGGTCACCACTAACAAGGTATGAGTTGTTTCTTATCAATTACATGTGATGGTTAAATGTCTATCCTGAAAGAAATCTACATGTGGAAAAAAATAGTATAGCCTGTGCTAAAATAGGCAACATTTAAAAGACATAAATGCTTGTTTTGGCTGCTCTATAGTCAGTAGTGAGGAAAAAACAGCAAACATATAATGAAGATGAAGATAACATTGGAACTCCAGTTCTGCTACCTATGCTCTGGTCAAGTTACTTGGAGGAGTTCCAGATTCCTGGTCTCAGGTGAGCAAAATATTATCTGACTCATAAGGCTCTGATTGAAGGTGAGCTGAAAGACATGTAAGACATCTTGCACACTGCAGAATACTGCTCAAATGTTGGGTCCTAACCATCACTGCTTCTGGTGCTCTGATGATGACAGTGGAGATGATAGTTGCTTCCAGAGAGGAACCAAGTTGCTTCTGTTGTTCTTGACTCCACAGCACATGTTCTACTTGGCTGATGTTCCCAGAGTAGGTCTATCAGAACACTAACTAGCTAGTGAGCACAATTCAACTGGGAAATGGGACCAGTTTGTTTTCCTGTGAACACTGACATTTTCCTCCATTCCTCTCATATTATCAGAACTTCTGAACTACTTCCTTTTAGAATACATACAAAACTTTTTTTTTTTTTAACTTTTGGCTATGGAAAATTTCAAATGTACATAAAAGTCGAGAAAAATGTGCAGCAAACCCTCACATATCACCAGTATCAATGATTATTAATTTATTCAAAGCTTGTTTTACCTGTATCCATACTCATTTTGGATTATTTTGAAGCAACTTCTCAGTATTATTCTTATTTCATCCACAAATATTTCTGCATGTTTCTCTAAAAGACATGTATCCTAATTTTGAACAGAATCAAAATATTATTACATCTAAAAATGAACTATAACTACTTTATATTATCGAATATCCATGTGCATTAAATTCCTCTAAATGTCTCCAAGATTTATTTGCACTTCAAGTAGATTCTGCAATTAGTTGACAGGTATTATCTTTTTAAATCTGAGATTTCTTCTTCCATCTTTATTTTTCCCTTGCAATTTATTTGCTAAGGAACCTGCTGCTTTGCCATATAGATTATCCCCAAATTCACATTTTGCTGATGGCATGATTAACATGTTCCTTTGTTCCCTATATTTCCTGTCACTTCATAATTAGTTCTAGAGAATTTATCAAATTCAGATTTGACTTTTGGATTGCCTAGTTAGTTGATAGTCTTGTATACTGCCATCAGGAGCAAGCGATACTTAATTAGCTCTGGGTTTTGTGTGCTTAACAACCACTGAGAATCAGTGTTCAGTAGTGCTTCACAGGAGTTGGAAAACAGTGATTTTCTTCCACTACTTCCTCATTTGTAAACTGGGATACTATTACTATTTAAAAATGAAAGATATTTTCCAATTCTGATTTTGGCTATGACAAATTGTTCCCTCTATCTACATACATCATTAATATCTATTATACTGTTCGCTCTATCTACATACATCATTAATATCTTTTGGTATAAAGATATT